AGTAGGGCTTCCTCAACAGAGGCTATTTGAGACGCTTGATTGTATGGAAGCATTTGACGAGGTGCAAGGGGAGGTTGACCAACCGCAACCCCCTAGATACCCACCCCTGACCATACTGTGGCTTTCGGAGGCTCACCTACAATCTCTGTTGCAACGGTCAAACAGCTGAAAAGATGTGTTTTTCGGCCAGTTAAATTTATCATGTTTAAATAAACAATTGTCTCATTTCTCAACTATTCACTCTCATTCTCTTTCTGTCCGTATTGACTTCTCCACTGTGGTTAATTTCTAAATACTGCATCTTTCACGGTCACCTGTTGTGTATTTTTTCCAGATATGGCCTTTCCTGCTTGGGGTTTATCCGTGGAATGCAACCGAGGACGAGGTGGATCGAATGAGCCAAGAGAATGAACGGCTCTATCAGATCGCACTGGCTGAGTGGCGAAATGCGCAGTACTGGATCAAGGACCCGGACAAACCGGAAGCCGTTGCACAACCATTTGGTCCACGAAACATTGTTGTGCGTAATGGTCAGGGATCATGTGATTCTGCCCGCGTAAGTGATTATGCAAAATCCCCTGACCAGGTGGTTAAAAGGAAAAAAAATCCTGCTGTTCCCATTGCATACGCCTTTGCTGTTGGTAGCAACCGCAGACATCTTCGCCCTGCTTCCAAGCATCTCGATTAGGACTATTTCTTTTCATGTGACTATTTTCATTTCATCATCCAATGAAATTCTTCACTGCTCACTACACTGAAAGTAGGGCAAATCTTAGTAGCACTTGAGACTGTTGGAAGTAACAAGAATGGAACAGGCCGTGTATGCTCGTGTCTTAGTTCTCAGATTGCTGCGGTTTGCAATCAAGTGTTCAAAAACTGGCAGGCTTGCTTTTCCCGAACCTACATTCAGTCTATTGAGATGGCTTTAGAATTTGATGAAGGCGATTTCTCCCATTTCTGTGTGAACTTGTACCTAGTCTGATAGGTTTCATCCGGTCTATGCTGGATATTCAAATCATATCTAAAACCGTTATCAGTGTTTTTTGTTTGTTAAACTTATTTCACACCTGTTGCTTCTCTACCTTAGGCTCTCTCGTAAAAAATCACCCATTTTCTTATAATGAGGGACTTTGATAGTTCCAATCTTATAAAGAGCCAGAGTTAGTTATTAGTCACTTAACACAAGTTATCTACCCGTATCGTGTAAAGTATCTTCCTACGAATGTGCCAGTCATCATCACCATTGAACCGAATATTGAACTGTGAAGAGATTACGGTAGAATTCGTCAAAATGACGTCTTTATCACGGCTCAGCGGTTGTTCTTTTTGCTATTCGATTTCATTCACATTTGCCAGTCTCTCTCTCTCTGTGGGGAAGAATGCACGAACGCAACACTTTCACCCTAATTGAATACAGAAAATGTCGGGATTGTGGGTCTTCCAAGCCATGGGATCTCCCGAAGGGAGGGTTGCAGTTATTGGTGTCTTGGAAAAGATTCTTTCGATTCTCTCACCGAACTCGTAGTGGTTGCAAGCACGATGAAGCCTATCGGTAGATAAAATACGCGATTATCACCCATTCACAGCCCAAGCGAACGAATGAAATTCCTGTCACTTACAAATTTATTTGTAATCCAACCTTCTTGTGTAGGCATGTACACACTACCAGGAAAGGGATCTGATAGGATGCCGTCACAGGTGCAGTCTAGGCGCGGTTTCACTACTAATACGTCTGAAATAGCGGAACTCTTAGAAATGCGATTTTTTTAAGTGATTTCAGCTTCCACCTATTGTATTGTGTTCTGTATGGTCAAGCGACTACTGTCACAGTGCCTGTAACAGTGAAACGGTAACCTTTAGCGTTGTGTGGGAATTTATTCCCTGGGAAAATCGTACACCAGCGGACTCATTGACAAATCATATGTATATGAGATAATAGCTTTTCATCCCCACGAATGTTTGCCAAAAGACGGCGGTTTTGGAAACACAGTTTCATTTACCGCAATAAACCATCTTTTGACTGTGTACTTTGCTGTAACAGTGAAAGGAACAAGCAGCATCTTGGGGAGCATAGAGAATTCAGGTAGACTAAGGTTGCGAAGACATTATATAGATACACTAACGCCACTGTTGTTGTTTTTCTAGTCGAGGTGGTGAGCTGTATCGTTTTATGGCCAGCGCGAGACAACAAAAACAATCGTGCACCCTCAGTCTGTATCTTGGACACAATTTCAATAGATGAGAATGGTCAACGTATTGGAGGCAGTAGACTACTCGAGTTTCCCCACAAATTTTATTGAAGTAAATCACCAGATATCTCTGTGAAAGCTCCATGGTTAAGGTGTTCTAGGACTGCTCCTTGATTGGATTGAAGGATTTTTGCAACAAATTTTCACGTCTATCTGGTTTACTGCTATAACCGATTGACGTAGCTTTTGGTGCTCCACAAGGATGCCCACTTTGTCAGTATCGTTTCTCAAAAAAAATGTGTATACGATCTACTATTTATTCTTGGGGCACAGGCTTGACTACTCTGATGACGTGCAAATCATAGAAAACAGTAAAACATCTTGAGAAAACACTCGACGCAGCTCACCGATGGTTCACCATAAATGATATCGAGTTAATTGTTGCGAAACGTGATGTTGCGTCTTTGCGTCATACGTGTCGGTTTCCATACGTCCTTGAAAAGTAGCTTCTATCAAGAAGAATATGGGAGTTCTTCTTCTGGAAAACTTAGGATGTTCCACTCATAGGGTTAGTGTGTCATCAGTGGCTGTAATGTAAGTTGTATTACTTCGAAGTATTTTTGGACTATTTGACTCGTACCTGCTTCCCCATTGGCTATCAACATACATTCGACCGCACACCGAGTACGTCATCCACATTGGAAATTCGTGACTGAGTTGGGACACAATAGCGTTCAAACGTCCGCATAGAATAGAAGCCAGAATGTTCAAAATGATCAAACACGTTCACTGAAAGGTTTAGAATACTTGTATTCAACTCTGCCACATTCGGGGGGATACAATCATCATATATCAAATACTGCATCAGCCTGACTACTCATGTAGCACTGTAGTGATTAACTCTGAAACTCCTTTGAAACGGATTATTTAAGAGAGTCGGTTAGATTGTATGCATTACTCTTTGGACATCAGAGTATGCACCATATCCCAGTGGTTTATACCCCAACCATCGATTCGTTAAGGTTCAGGGAAGATTACATTTTTACCCCTTCAGTTCAGTAGATAATCATGAACTTGGGGCACACATTAGTGATCGTTATGATACCGATAGCTAATAATGTCGTTGAACAACTTCTGTGTAGTCTTTCTGTTTTTGAACACACAACAAACCTCACTTGGCGGATCATTTTGACTTGAACTGAATGCTTGTTACTCCAACAACATCGATTATAATCAATTGATTATTCGATCTGGAATTCGCTAAAACCGTGCGTTCTCGTACTCAACAATATTTTGACTGTAGAATTCAACTGTTAACTATTCCTCCGCACTGGCTAATTCGTATTATACGAATTGCCAGCGGGTCATTTGTGGTGTATATAGTACATCTGCTTTGCCAACTGGCGATTTTTGATCAGTCGAAAACTCCAGTGTGAACTCTATATGTATAGCCATTGGTAGTTGGTGATAAGACATAAGTTATCACACAAAATGAATAATCCAATCAGTGATCAAGCATGCCCTGTTCGACTTGATGACCCAGTGCAGACAAGCAGCAACACCATGAAACATCGTTGCTCACTTGTTCTGTTAACGCATGTGCCAGTTTTTGTCGTTCTTGCTGTTATATGTGATGTTGCTTCATGATCTTCCGTGGTGGTTTGTTTAGGTTTTATGCAGTGTAGAAACAGTATTGTATTACATCTTCGACATTCTACTCGCGAATGAATCTAATTGATTTTTTTCTCACCAAGATTGTTGGACCACCATTTGTTTGACAGTCTGAATTCAGGCAACTGTGAAATGATATGTTCACATCTCTCCACACAAAGTGCCAAATTAACTGCTGGTAATGAGAAACAGTATACAATCACAGTTTGAGGCGAGGAATAAGCAACATCAACATAAGCAACAATCATTCTTCTACCATTTCAAGTTTATCTGTGCTTACTTTACTGTGGCTGGCTCCTTGAAAAGGATAAGACGGCTTCAGACGTGATCATGATCATGAAGTTCCTTGGGAGTTCGGTACGACAGATGTCCCCAGCGTCACTTGGCATTTTTTATTTTTGGGGCACATCTCTAGCCCTTGTAGAGCCAAGTGCGAACTGCAAGTCAGCAGGAAGTAACCTCCCTCCTCGGAAGTGAGGGGGTCAATGGCTTTAGTTTTGAAAGGCCAGTCACATTGACCTTTGTCACGACACCGTCATTGGGCTTATGCGGCTTTTAAACAGGAGCCAGTGACCAGCCTGAAACCCACCACACCCTGGTAGTGGCGCCGCTGTTTGTTCGCGACTGCTTATTTGTTGCGGTATGCCACAAATTATTCACAGCTAACCTTTTTTTCGGTGAAGGTATCCCCCAATCCACGACCCGGGGACGCGCCCGGTAGCATTCAGCTCTCCTTAACCCGAGGGTACCTGTGCTGTATGAGAAGGACGAAATCGGGTTCATGTAGTCGGCGTGCTCGGAGTAATGATATCTGACCACCAAAGCAAATATTCGTGTTCCCCATGTTCTACCTCCGCACTATGATTGTATTGCACTAGGCCTATCAATGTTTTGTCTCCGATTCGCTCTTATGGTTCTTTATTCTCCCATTCCTTCAATTTATCTCAGACAAACAATCCTTTGTCTTCGCCCCAAGACACAATGAAACTAGATGAGAGTTTGAGTGTCACATCCCGGGATGCTTGTCAGTCGACCTCGCCCGATCCACAAAGCCCGACCATGAATGGTATCGTACGTAAGTTTTGCTTAACTTTATTCGAATCAAAATACAGCAGCTGTTATTGCACTTTATCTCGCTTATTCACCGGAGGTTTAATTCACTTGTCACTGATGTTCGTTGTGCCCCAAGGTTCCGGATTTGATCCTTGACACTACCACCACCGATCTTTGGTGGTAAACATGTTCTCCATCGTCCCGCCCTATATGGTTCATCATTCCGAGTTGAAGAGCCCAATTTACCGCTTAACATGAGTGGACAGTTGGTTCTCGTAACTATGAAAAGTGAAACATTGTTGAAACATTATTGTTGTTGTCACTGTTCATTTCACAAGGATGTATAACAAGAAAGGAAATACACAACACCAATTATGTGACGTAGTTTGGTGTTGTTCTGTCTCATTTAGTTTTTCTCTATTGTCTCTGTTGAACCACTTGTTCCGGGGTTCGCCAGTTTTCAACTTTTTCCTTCAGACTTGAGAACCCCAATGTCTTCGAAAGAACGGTTCCCAAATGCGTGCCTGCCTACGTTTTCCTTCTCAGTTGTACTGTTCTCCCTTAATTTCTCGATTCCGAAATGGGACGGATTGCATCATGTTCTCGAACTTCTTCCTCAATGTAGTGGTGTAACCAGGGTTGTATTAGTCCATCTGGTTACGTGGGACCGATTCATCGACGGAATTTACTGCATCCAATATCATTTGTTGCACGGTGTCCTTTCTAAAGCCTCATTAAATTTTCTCCGCTGTTTTGAAGCTCTGACTGCCTGCACGTACTATCGCACAATCCATGGTGTGAGCATTTTTGTTGTTTAACTGAGCACCGGATGTGATCACGATCTACGTAGGCGCTTACGCCATGTCCTTTTCTGTTCCTGATCCCCCCTCCGCCTCGATTCTCGCTTCGTAGCTTTGATTCTCTAACTTTCAACAATTTACCCCTTTGGCGCGTGACAATTATCTGAACGTGCCTAGATCCGACTAGTGGTTTGAACACTTTTTAAGATTCGTTGATCCTATCAGTGTTCAAGTCAATTCACGGTAACTTAAAAATAATTTTTTTAACGGGAGAAATGATTGAGGGAAACCGGACACTGTCTCCTGAGCGATCAGTAAGTAAAAAACAAGAGAATTCATCTTGTTGAGATTCATTTTTTCCTGTGTTGATGAAATGGAATTCACGGTTTTTGTGAGCGTTATGGTTAGGCCTGGATACCGTCGGGTTAAGGAGAGCTGAATGCTACCGGGCGCGTCCCCGGGTCGTGGATTGGGGGATACCTTCACCGAAAAAAAGGTTAGCTGTGAATAATTTGTGGCATACCGCAACAAATAAGCAGTCGCGAACAAACAGCGGCGCCACTACCAGGGTGTGGTGGGTTTCAGGCTGGTCACTGGCTCCTGTTTAAAAGCCGCATAAGCCCAATGACGGTGTCGTGACAAAGGTCAATGTGACTGGCCTTTCAAAACTAAAGCCATTGACCCCCTCACTTCCGAGGAGGGAGGTTACTTCCTGCTGACTTGCAGTTCGCACTTGGCTCTACAAGGGCTAGAGATGTGCCCCAAAAATAAAAAATGCCAAGTGACGCTGGGGACATCTGTCGTACCGAACTCCCAAGGAACTTCATGATCATGATCACGTCTGAAGCCGTTTTATCCTTTTCAAGGAGCCAGCTGCAGTACAGTAGTAAGTTATGGTCATGCAAATGGTTTATTTGCCCACCGGAACGAATAATGTGCAAATCGTGAATGTATAGCTAATTTGTCTGTCAGAATACTTGAATAAAGAAAATACGGATCAAGAGGTGCCATACAAAATGTTGGCAGCATGGCATACTGTCTTTGAGACTCGTCGTTATCCGCTACCGACAACACAGTTCACAAGGCAGCCGTACCATCATTGTATCCCAAACTCATTCAGCCACTACTCCATGATCAACTGATTTGTAAAATTCATTGGGACATGTTGACTTACAAGAAAGAAGCGTTTATCGGAAGTTGAACGAGACCTAATTATTGATCTCGGAATGCTCTTCATGGAAGCCGTTACGACTGCCTTCTCGTGATCTCTTTCTTTATTGTGAGAAGCTGAAAAGTTATTATCTGAGATGCATCATCCCAGGGAATAATACGGTAAAGCGAACTTCACCGAACGCTACCACTTTAGCAGTCCACGCAAAATAACTGAGAATTCGTAGGGTGGACAGTATGTAGGCCTACTTTGGAGTAGGAGGAAGGGGCGGAGGAAGTGAACCTG